CTGGGACAAAAAATAACATAAGAGTGGCCTAATAATTTGAGAGGGAAGCAGGCGATGATCATGGGGACCCGAGGGAGCCATTGTTGTCTAAATGACACTTAGTACCTTGTTGAAGTGTTGTATTCCCGAGACCTTTGAATGATGGCCTATAGCTTCTACAAAGACATGATGCTGAAAAATAGAATGAGCAGAATAATGATGATGAAGACCGACTTCCCATCAAATTAAAAGTTCTTTAGGCTTCCACTTAATGCCAATAATCTTCCTTTGGTGGAGATCACATCAACTGTCCACGCCTGTCTTTTCGCAGACTACCATATGTAACCCAGGGTCATGCCGGTACTTGCGGAAGAGCTTAGGTTCGAACATGAGAACAGTACTACTTGAAACTCTAAAGGTGTTCCGTAAGTACAGTAATATACCCTGAAACCGCTTATTCCACACATCATCTCTATAAATTCTTCTTTTTCACATTGTTTTCACGGATTCTAAGAGAGCCAACGCGCCTTTCGGGCCTCTGTGTCTATCTTTTTCATTCAGTTGGGATCTTGTCACGGAGGACCACACCAATGTAAAGTGCATTGAAATTAATTTTATACCTCTATGATCTATCGTTTCTCGACGCCAAGCTATAAAAAGATAGTAAGATAACTCCAACGAAACCACAGGCCAAGACTCAAACGAACCACCTACCCTTGAGAAATTATGGCATGAAATGAAGAGGATGTATACATGTGCTTCTTATCTGCTAATAATCCAGTAGTTACCCAACATTTAAGCTTGGACTGCATCAAAATGATCCTTATTTTTGCGTTTACGACTCGAACTCAAGAAGAAGATCGTGACCGTAAAAATGGTATGCATTCGTGCACACTAAGTTATGTGAAGTAGATATAATTTTTATGATAGTCCTGAATGACACCACATCAATTCCTTCAAATGGTTGAATTTTCGTCGTTCGATTTGAGAAGCTCTGAAAGAAGTAGTAACTTGAAGAGGGAGCCACCATATATTCCTTTTCGCAAATTCTGTCACCGCGGAAGGGCAATGTTCGGAACAAACAGTTCCTGATTCAAAACAGTGGCAGACCTCTACCTCTGTGAAGCCAACAGGATGAAAATCGAACGCAACTTATTCCGAATGGCTCGGATTTTGTCGATTAGACTTTGAGCATGTGAGCAAGTGGAATCATTGGTATCCGCTTGGAGGGAAGTTGGCGGCGTTTCAGTAGTATCAAGTATGGTGTACTAAAGAACCAGAATATGTGGCAAACTAAAACCGAGAGCTTTCAGAGACTCCCTACCAGATACCTGGTCAGCCACTTACCTCAGCTGAACTACATTGGCGGATGTCAGTGACCTTCCTCACATCCCTTATGGTCGAGGAGGTTGGTTCGTGCTTATTCCTTTCCTGTCGTCTGCTTCTTAAAGAGGCCCACACCACTGCAAAAGAATTACGTTCCATGGTCTCATCTGCCTACGCCCTGCGCAGCGAGGACTGCCCAGCTGACATATGAAAATTCTCTTCACCACTCACAGTAAACCCTTTTAACATTCGCTTCGCCTGACTCTGAAATCGTATGCCTCATATTATTAGACAGAGCTGGGCAGTCGAGCTCTACAAGAGGCGACTAAGTTTCATTCTTCCTGACAGAAACAGCATCCTGAAACTTGGTGTATACTTTAAGCAGCTATCTTCCGCTGAGATTTCAGGCCATTAAATACCTTTGGAAGATTCGACTGCCTAAAGATCAGCACCAAACGAAACGTATCTCTGACATCATCCCTACTTAGTAGCCTTGCCAGCTAGTACCTCACATATCTATACTGTCTCCTTCTTGCTATGTTTATCTACCGCAAAGCAATTCCCTGCCTGAATAACTGCTGCAAAAACTTCCTTTTTGTGGAGGTTGCAAACCCTCTCCAACCGAGTCATTTCCGACGAAGGCAAATCTGCGTCATATCAGTTGTTGAGCCGGCTGTTCTTGACGGCTAGTAGTGCGAGGTGGCGTAGGCTGTAAGAGCGACATGTGTTGAGCGGGTTGTTCGGCAAACGTAGAAATACCAATTACGGGTGCATTATGTGGGTCTACCAACTGTTCCTGCAAACCGAGTTAGTTCTGTAGACCAGCTGAGTTGGAGCGCACCCTAAACTTGCAAGTAATGAGCTCGTCTACAAATCGCTACCAATGTGGTTAGTTTGAAAGTTGTGTGAAGTAACGCTTGCAGAACTCATATTGGCGGCCAAAAGATTGGCAAAATTACGAGAAAATAAATGGAGCCTGACTTTATATGGCGGTAGGCGGCAAAGTAGGTGAGCAAGTTCCTTTGATCTAGCTCATCGACGCCTAGTTAGCCAAAATGTCAGATTAGTTATAACCAACAAAAATAGATACGCTGATGCACAAATACGAAACGTTGTGCGTAATAATATAGAATCGTAATATCAGTGCTATGGATAATAGTAGGTTACTTGAACCTCACATTTTCGGCACCGTCCACTGCAGTTTTAGCATACTACAATGTTAGTTCGGAAGGCGAAACTTGTTAACACTCCAGAATTGACGGGAGTAGGATGAGAGGTCCTCTAAAATCCAAGTACAGTCAGTGACTATTCACATCAGACAGCAGACGTCGGAGCAGATAGAAGCACACTATTTCCAGACTTCCGAGAGAGATACCGTGGAAGCCTGGTAACCAAAATTGCTATTTTTGTAGTACAGATGAACAACTTTCGTGTTTACAAGGGGAGTAAGAATGCAGAAAAGGCGTAAAACGCGATCCAAAGGAGGCCTTATTTTTGATTTGGATGGTTGGTGGATAATTTCATACAATCTCCACATTAACAACCGGATTCTAAATCGTTCCTTGGCCAGCGTGGAACGGCAGCGACATTGTAACGACCAGCCTTTGGTACATCTAGCCTCTAGGTAAAAAGGTTCGTTTTTCGAGGGAGCGTGTTAGTTTAGTGGTGGCCATGAGAGTCGGGAAAGAAATAGAGAAAGAGAAAAACGTGAGCTGATTACTCAGCACTAGACGGAATCTACTTACGCTTACTAAGAAAAGGTAACCGACGAACGGTAGGGCTTGACAGCGAAATGCTGCAATGGTCTTGAAACCGAAAGTGAAAAATGAGTGAATAGGGTTTCGGATGCGTTGCAGACATCCACGTTTAGAACGCAAACCACGGCGATACCTCATACATTTAACACTTGTGGAGCGACCAAACTAACTTCATTCTGATTAGATCGAAACAGTCATTTGTAAACCTTAATTGCCATTTCCAACCTGCTCTGAATACGTGTAAGGCCTACCACGTCCACTAAAATTTCTAGCCTTTGCGACTGCTACAGTGCACGCCACATACATAGTTTGTAACTTCCTTTTCCTCCTAACTTGATGGAAATATTTCCATGATAGGCTTAATTTTTTATCAAGCATTTCGGCCACCGGAACTTGATATTTTGTTTGCATCTGAACAAATTTCCTTTTAGTTGCATACTGAATTAATTATTTTGGACAGCCAATGCTGTACCCAAATGTAGTGGGGTAGTTATATAATCATGCTTGTAAACCGGGTTGTACTCGTAGTTACACTTATCTGCATTCCTCCCCCTCCTATGACAACATCACGAACCTAGAACTGATGAGCTAGCAGGATATGACCTTAAATCTCAGAAACCAAAACTGTAACAACTTTTCTCCGAAGCCTGCCTCACTCGGTGCCTTAAACCAGTTAAACTAAGGGTCAGGGCAAGTAGTTTCCACATACTTCACGGTTTCCTTTGGGTTATGAGTGGATCTCTTTGTTCTGCAGATCCTAGGTTTCCCATGAGACCACATCTTGCCATGGCCATTTCCGATAAAGAGCTGTGTTGTGAATTATTTGTCTTTCTCCATTTTGGGGTCTCTATACACTAAGAAACTCTCGCTCCTTATATTCCACTCACCGAAGCTTAACATTAGTAACACTCACCTGGTTGTACTTATTAAACTTCTACGTAGTCGTCAGCACACCTCTTCACTGGAAAAACCACCTGCCTAGCCGCCACCTGCAGCTGCTGGTGTTTTTAATCGAATCGAATGACCTCGCTTCTGTACCATTCAGGTCCTATAAAATCTTATAGAGTTCCCAACATATATCCATATGATGTCTGTAGACCGGCTTCCCTTATGTTGAGCTACCAGTTTGCGAACAAAATATTTATCATTATTATTATTACAATTCTGGTCACCAGAATCCTGGAAAAGTGCTAAGTAATGGGTGTCACAATACATGAAGCAAAGACGGCGGAATCCGAAACCATATAGGACAACCATTTTATCACTTAAGCGTCCATGGAAAAAGGTCTGGGGCTCAAATTCTCTGTCACCATGAATACCGGCTCTGATCAAAGCGGATTGGCATCCAGATGGAACGCTACATTTCACCTCCTGAGCTAAGAGATCCCACTCATGGAGGGTTTCTAACGGTTTTCGAACATTTAATGCGGTAGCGACTGGAAGTCTTCAGCACACCAGCGTCCTGATATATACGAAAGACTTCAGTTTCCTTGAGAAAATGCAAAGATCTGTCACCTTATCAGTTGTCAGACTGACGGGAGGGGTGGTCTGATATTCTGATGTACACAATTCACTCTGAGCACTCACAAAAAAGGGTTGGGCTTATGATGACCGACAAGATGATCCACCAGGCAAGTCTAGCGAACGATCTAACCCTCCTTGCAACATGGAGGTCTCCGCGTAGGAACTTCACCAAAGCGGCAAATCAGAGAGCCGGCACCAGGCTCAGGTTAAACAGAAAAGCAAGTGCCTCGTGGAGTCTCCTACACATGCATTATGCACTTTGGATATTGATATAGGTCATCCTTTATTTTGGTTTAAAGTTGTTTCTAGCTTCCTTACATAAAATCAAACTTAGTGGACCACATTCTTATGTGCCAAAATGCTTCCAATGTATTTGTTTTATCTTGTCAATTGCGTATGTATGAATAAACTTTTGTTTTGCGTTTATTTGTTTAATGATGTTCTGCCTAATATTTCTTATTTTTCTTAAAAGTCATGTGTATTCAGAAAGTTGCACGGAAGTAAGTACAATTTCATGTTATTGACGATTTTTCTGTAGTCCGACTTAGTGATAAAAAGTACTGATTGTGACACTTCAGGGAATAGATGGCTCTTTAAAATACCAAGGGTTGACGACAGATGTGATCTCAATGAGTTGAGTTTACCTAAGAAGGTGAAAAACTGTGGTAAGCATTTATTAGCATCCCTTATCGATTATAGACAAAACGTGTGCTTCTGGAATGCATCTGGATTTGTTATCACAGAATTGTGAGGTTTGTCCTCCAGGAACGTTCTCCAAAGGTGACACATTCGAAGTAACAAAATGGGACACCATTCCTGAAATATTGTCTTCTGATGTCACGTATGGTGATACTTTCAATGATCGATGCAATCTGTAAGTTCTCTTTAAGATGAATTTTCGATGTTTGACCTACTGATTCATTTACTGTGATTCATATGATATTCAGTTTCACTCGTGTATGCATCTTATTTTGGCAACTATCGCTTCACATCGCTCTCACGGATGAGGCGTAAGGTGATAAATACCTGCTGTCTAGTGATTTGCCTTATAACGCCAAAGCGTTTTATCATGAATACTGAATGTTAAAATACTAAACTTCGAAGTTCAAATTCGGAATTTCACGAAGCAAATATGAGCTGAAAATCTATTGATCTCTATACGCCTCTCTTTTATCCGAGTTATATTTCGGAATGAAAAAAATACATCCTAATTCTGAAGTTTTCCTCATTTTATTATTATCAAGACTCTAAATGAAATATGAGCAACACTTAATTATGGGTGATTTCTAACATAATTATGCCAATAGTGGAAATCTACTGCCTTTTACGCTCCTTATCAATATTTTTGATCTTTAAAATAGTGTTCAGCTTTCCTTTCAAAGCTTCCCATTATGAAGACCGTTTAGAAAGGCAATAATAAACAAACTCTTAACAGGTTGAATTTAGAATTACTATTTATAGGATCCGCTTTTCATCCTACCGTTTGTTGGATGTCTTGTAAGGAAGTGGTTAACAACAAGCCGGAAGCTGTCTATCAGAGGGTTCTAATTCGTAAACGGATTCCACGAAGTATTAGGCCGTAATATATATCGAGATTTTCATTTTCACAAAATCAGTTTACCTGTTGTGTGTTGATAATCGGTTACAATTGGAGAATGGACTCAGTAAAAAGAAACTGTAGGTCAGGAAATAACCCATTTCTGCCACTTTTCGAGCAAAGCTGGCTTCTTGTCATCACTTAAATCGTTTTAACAATGACAAATTCATGAAGATCAGCCTTTTGCTTCAGATGTTTTGTTAACAACCAATTCCTGATTGTTTATTCCCCCAGTTTGAGTAATCTACTTTTTCCGAAGGATTGCAAACGAACTTCCCCCAGCCGATACGGGCTAAGTCTGCGCAGTCCTATGTTATCTTCCAGTCAGGTTCCATCAAATCTAGGGGACTTATAAGGGTTAAACTGTTCTACAGTTACCTTATCCCTGGGTGCTTCATTTTTGTTGAAAGTAAGAATCTTGAAGATTTCAGTTTTATTTGAGCTTATTTGTCTGTTTAAGATCTCTTCAAAATTCACTTGCCAGTATGCGAGCAGTACTGTCAAATGACTTTTAAATGAATTTACTACCCTGATTCTGTACTGCGTAGTAAAGTTTTGATTTCCGGATTTCATAAAGGTGAATGATACCTGTAATTTCATGAAATCAAAACTACTTATTTCCCCTGCTCATTGGTAAAACTCAATATCATTTTATCAGAGAGCCAGTTTGCAATTTTGTCATATCAGGCTTAAAGAATATCATTATTTCCGGGCCAAAGTTGTACTAATCATGTTGATTGCTATGCGCTGTATATTCTGTCTACGAATTTTACAAAAAATTTTATCAACATACTGTGTTATTGTTTTTGTCGCAACTCAGACTACTGTAATTGCTGAACTAGCACATATACTTCAGAAGTCGTATAACTCAAGCAAGCTTTTTTATAGACATATTTAGTCTGAATTATAGTCAGACAGCAACTACAAATAGGACACAGTGTAATAAATACATCTTTGTTGAGCTTCACCATTTAGTCATGGATTTCTGTGTGCTTTCTGGGGAAAGAAAAATGTAGTTTGAAACTTTACCGCTTTGGAACCTGGAAAGCGTTTGTTATACTTATTCATTGGGCCTAGAATGATCAAAACGTTTTGTTAACCTCTCTATCAATATCTAAAATCACTGTAATCCAAAACATTTTCTTTAATTAAGGGCTACCGACCAGTTTTCACATCTATGCGATATATTTTTAATACTGAAGTGATAGAAAAGATCAGGTACGAAGTTTGGGCTTCGAGATTTTCTTATGTTGTGTAAACAATTGGCATAAGTGCTGTTTTCACTCTTGGCATAACACTAATGCACTTCAGCCGTGTTTGTAATAAGGCCTTCACACCAGTGGGACAAAGAACCTACGACAGGAAGCTAAACACATCAAGAATAACTTGCATATCAGTAATTACTCACCCAAATTTATAAATTCATAGGAAATCGACGGAAAAATATTAGCAGTGGCAGTTGGAACACAGATGATATTGATAATAATTCTACTAATAATGGTGACAGGGTTGAAAAAGAATTCAAAGACTCCACTGTGTTACCATACAACAAGGAAACCTCAAAAGCGTCACGAAGAATTCTCAGTAAGGCCGGGATTAGAGTAGCGTGTAGGCCAACAAACTCACCTAGAAACAAACTTTGTAGGTTAAAAGATCCTATTGATCCAATTAGCCAAAATAATTTGGTGTACTGAATCCCTTGCAATGATTACGGCGCTAAATGTGTAGGTCAAAGTAGCCGACGAGAGTCAGTTAAAATAACAGAGCACAAAAACCTAGTTAAGTCAAGATCAGCAGATCCTAATAAGATAAGAAATTTAAAAAAGCTCTGTTATAGCTATGCTCACAACAACACGCAATCACACAATAAGGTGAGATAAAGTGACGGTATTAAAAATTAACTTATTCGGATGGAGCAAGAGATTGATAACCGAATTTTTGTTAATCAAACTAATACCAAATGCATGTAATAGAAATGATTCTGCCCCTGTCCCGGATGAGCGGAAAGTTCCATTATTCTTATCACAAAGACGGAGAGAAAATTAGTACGATATTAACTATGTTTCAAAGTAGCGAATTTCCTTGATATGAATATTAACAACAAATTGTGTCCAAAACGTTACCTAGTACTGTTTCACTGTGTGATTTTTCTAATAAACAGACTGGAATGTAATTGAATTGTATTATTGTATCATTAGTAAAGAAATCTTGACCTAATGAATCCTCAATACTTTAAGGAGTTACTGTAAAGCTGCAATTCAGAGAAAGAAGATTCAGTCCCTATTTATTTGCCAATTCACTACTTTCTGATGTAGTGTGAACTTTTACTAGCTTCCATAATAACATTGTCATGATTATACACTTACAGAATATAAAATTTCTGAAGGTCAATTTGGCGTTTCTCTTTTATATTCCCCGGATAATAGTAACCGTTAATTGTAAGAATGGGGATGTGAAAAAGTGCCTGAAAAATAAGCGTGAAACAGATGATGCAGGCGAGAAAGTCTTGTGTTTTCTCTTTCTTTACAGTCCTGGGCTTCAGGAAATTTAGGGGTTAGCACTGTATTCAAATTTAGTCCTCAGCTTCAAATTCTTAGGTTAGTGAACACTTCAGAGAATTGATGAAATGGAGCAATGGATTGTATGCTTTTTACAGTACTTTACTTGTTCGTCTCTCAATGAATCAAGGCTAGTGAAGCTTAATCATTCCGTTTGCTATATGGTATGAGGATAAAACCGAGTTCAGCGTTATTTTTCCCAATAGCTGTAAAACATTCAAAAGTAATCATCACTGGTCTCGAAATTCATTTAGAATACTGCATACTGCATGTGTAAAAAGTGCTACTATGTCTGTCAGCCTTAGATACCGAATACTCTCCGACAAGTTGAATGAATCAGCAAAATCAGTTAGGAAATCCTTCAGTCGCAATACTTCCATCTTGACTTAAAATACACCGTATTTTAGTGCACCTTTTACTCACCGATAAATTGGGACTCGTTACCTCAGTCATAAGTGCGCTGATACACAAGAGACATTTTAAATCTTAGGGATAGAATGGTAAAAGTTGTCTATGAGTTCTAGCATGAATAATAGTATTGTGAATGTCTTCATTGGAGAACACATCATCAATTAGTGAGGTGAAGACTTTTAGGTGTTAACGCCTTTATGGAAAGGTCATAAATGGTTGAAAAATAACTGGTTAGTAATCGAATGCATCACTTCAGGTTCGTATTCACCGTCGATTGACATCAGTCAGAGAAAAACTGGAAACCTGGCCACACTAGAAAATTGTTTCATCCTGTTATGTAACTACTCAGAAGTGCGAACCCATGACACCGCCAGGGATTGAACCTGGAACCTTCAGGTTCGATCCTTGATGAGGCCATGGGCGTGCACTGCTGAGGAGTCCCACACCAGGACGAAACAACTGGACAGGGGTTTCATTGCTGATGGTGTTAGATGACGGTGGTGTTATGTCCCGAATTGGCAGCGGTACAAAACTGTGAACTGTTGTATTCCGATCACATAGTTGGGTGGTAATATGCTTTTCTTAGAAGCTGACAGCCCTAAGCTCGATCCCTCGTGGGGTTTTGGGTATTCACTACTGAGGAGTCTCGTATTAGGATAAAATAGCTGTTCAGTCCTCCCTGATATACAATAGTTCTTTAAATGATGTCAAGCCTCAATGAATGCTGCACTGATACTTAAGAATATGTTTAACATCAGCCGATAACTGGTACTGCAGACAAAAAGAAAGTTTTAGACAGATAAAAATAATTCACTGAAAAGAAACCCTGAAAAGTATTCTGAAGCACCAAGTAATATAGCTGGGAAAGGATTTCTGTATACTAAACGTTTGGTTAGGATGAGGATACAGTAATCAGCAAAGCAACAGAAAGAAAATGTAGAATTATGCCATGTATTTTGTAGTTTTACTGGTGAACGGAGTACAAGAACGTCAGTTGAATAAATGAGAGAACGGTTGGTGAACGTAATCGTTGATACAATTCAAGCTATTTCTACCGATAAAGTTTCATTTGTTGACAATTTCATTACTGGTGTTTATAATTTTATTTTTTTGACCACTCTGATTTCCTTCTAGCTTAGTCTAAGTTCATTTATTGTTCAGAAAAGATATAAAGAGTTTATTTATTTAACTGTAATGCAGAATTTGGAATCAATTAAGTTTATTTGTTTAAATTTAGTTAATGATCTAAAAGTAACACAGACACAATACAAACAATATTAATTTTCGTCAAGCGAAATATTAATAACA